CCCGAGCTCATAGTGTAGATGGAGCCTCCGCTGACTTTCTCAGCTTCCTGCTGCAGGAGCAGAGCCCTGCTGCTTGGCCCTCTCAGCCCTAGCAATCAGTACACGGTGGTGTGCGTTTCAAAGCACTCTATTCAAGGAAAAGAGTTAGAAATCGGTGGCTGATGGTAGGCACCTAAAATGCATATTTAGACACCTGTATAATAGTGACTTGGTTTGCAGAGGCGTAAATACCCCGATTTTCTCTCACCCTAAATGGAGCCGTGGGTGCTCAGCATCTTTGAAAATCTGGCCACTTTTAGGTAGATGCCAAAGTCTGGTTTTGGGTGCCTAACTTTGGCCATCCAAATTTGAAAATATTGATCTTAGTTTTTAAAAGAAATGAAAGCGGACGTTCTCCTTGACACTTTTAGACCCCCTAGCCAGTTGGGCCCACAGCCACAGGGAGGTAGAAAAACCTGAGATATACAGACAGGAGAGGCTTAATGGTCTCTTCTTAGACCCTGATCCTGCAAAGACATCCATGCAAATAACCTCCTGCACCAACCCCAAGTTCCAATGGCTACAGTAGAGCTAAGTATCAAAGGGGTAGCCGTGTTAGTCTGGATCTGTAAAAGCAGCAAAGAGTCCTGTGGCACCTGATAGACTAACAGACATATTGGAGCATGAGCTTTCGTGGGTGAATACCCACTTCTTTGGATGCATGTAGTGGAAATTTCCAGGGGCAGGTATAAATATGCAAGCAAGAGTGAGTAAGGCTAGAGATAACGAGGTTAGTTCAATCAGGGAGGATGAGGCCCTCTTCTAGCAGTTGAGGTGTGAACACCAAGGGAGGAGAAACTGCTTTTGTAGTTGGCTAGCCATTCACAGTCTTTGTTTAATCCTGAGCTGATGGTGTCAAATTTGCAGATGAACTGAAGCTCAGCAGTTTCTCTTTGAAGTCTGGTCCTGAAGTTTTTTTGCTGCAGGATGGCTACCTTTAAATCTGCTGTTGTGTGTCCAGGGAGGTTGAAGTGTTCTCCTACAGGTTTTTGTATATTGCCATTCCTAATATCTGATTTGTGTCCATTTATCCTTTTACGTAGGGACTGTCCAGTTTGGCCAATGTACATAGCAGAGGGGCATTGCTGGCATATGATGGCGTATATTACATTGGTGGACGTGCAGGTGAATGAAGTGGTGATGGTGTGGCTGATCTGGTTAGGTCCTGTGATGGTGTCGCTGGTGTAGATATGTGGGCAGAGTTGGCATCGAGGTTTGTTGCATGGATTGGTTCCTGTGTTAGAGTTACTATGGTGCGGTGTGTAGTTACTGGTGAGAATATGCTTCAGGTTGGCGGGTTGTCTGTGGGTGAGGACTGGCCTGCCACCCAAGGCCTGTGAAAGTGAGGGATCATTGTCCAGGATGGGTTGTAGATCACTGATGATACGTTGGAGAGGTTTTAGCTGGGGACTGTATGTGATGGCCAGTGGAGTTCTGTTGGTTTCTTTCTTGGGCTTGTCTTGCAGTAGGAGGCTTCTGGGTACACGTCTGGCTCTGTTGATCTGTTTCCTTATTTCCTCATGCGGGTATCGTAGTTTTGAGAATGCTTGGTGAAGATTTTGTAAGTGTTGGTCTCTGTCTGAGGGGTTGGAGCAGATACGGTTGTATCTCAGTGCTTGGCTGTAGACAATGGATCGTGTGGTGTGTCCGGGATGGAAGCTGGAGGCATGAAGGTAGGCATAGCAGTCAGTGGGTTTTCGGTATAGGGTGGTGTTAACGTGACCGTCACTTATTTGCACCGTGGTGTCTAGGAAGTGGACCTCCCGTGTAGATTGGTCCAGGCTGAGGTTGATGGTGGGGTGGAAGCTGTTGAAATCGTGGTGAAATTTTTCCAGAGTCTCCTTCCCATGGGTCTAGATGATGAAGATGTCATCAATGTAGCATAGGTAGAGAAGGGGCATGAGTGGACGAGAGCTGAGGAAGCGTTGTTCCAGGTCAGCCATAAAAATGTTGGCATATTGTGGGGCCATGCGGGTGCCCACAGCGGTGCCACTGGTCTGGAGGTATATTTTGTCATCAAATTTGAAATAGTTGTGTGTGAGGATAAAGTCACAGAGCTCAGCAACCAGTTGTGCTGTGTCATCATCAGGGATACTGTTCCTGACAGCTTGTATTCCATCTGTGTGTGGGATGTTTGTGTAGAGAACCTCTACATCCATGGTGGCTAGGATGGTGTTTTCTGGACGGTCACCAATGCATTGTAGTTTTCTCAGGAAATCAGTGGTGTCACGGAGATAGCTGGGAGTGCTGGTGGCGTAGGGTCTGAGTAGGGAGTCCACATATCCAGACAGTCCTTCCGTGAGGGTGCCGATGCCCGAGATGATGGGGCATCCAGGATTTCCGGGTTTGTGGATCTTGGGTAGTAGATAGAATAACCCCGGTCGGGGCTCTAAGGGTATGTTGATTTGTTCCTGTGTTAGTGTAGGGAGTGTCCTGAGTAGATGGTGCAGTTTCTTAGTGTATTCCTCAGTGGGATCTGAGGGAAGTGGCCTGTAGAATTTGGTATTGGAGAGTTGTCTGACAGCCTCCTTTTGGTAGTCAGACCTGTTCATGATGACAGTAGAGCTAGGCATCGATGCAGGATGCCATTGTAGGAATGGGGTCTTAGATTATAATAAGGTCCTTGAAAACAAAGAGTCGTTACTTTCTCTGTATAGCATTATGCACACCTATGCCGCTATTATGTTTGTCTATCATAATAACTAGCAGCAGAGCCACGAATAGACAACTGGACCACACTGCTTCTCCCTCTCTCTCACTCTGAATTCTTAATCTTCTCTTTTCCACATTAAGTATTACTGGGGCAGCTTTTAAATCTCTCCTCATATGTCAGTCTCCCTCCTGCAACACCTTGCATCCTTCTGTGGGCCTTCTTCTGGTCTGAGGCTTGGCAGCTCTGCTCCATTTGAGATCCCGCGTGACAGGAGGCATGGTACAGCCAAGCAAAGGGCAGGAATAGGCCAGAAGAATGGCAGGAGTGGGCGTTGGAGTTCTCTCCTCCCCTCAGGATGTTTCAAGCAGCAGTGCTGCCAAAGACATCTACAGTGACTGTGTCTTCATGTCTGTCATCCGCTGCTGCGGGAAAGCAGCTTCCACAGTCACTTAAAGAAATGTTTTGATAGCTCATAACGAGCCTCAGTGCTGGCTGCTCTCTTCCTCCACTTAAGGAAAAGGAAGTTTGAGGATGGAATGAAAAGGCAATCCCTCCGTTCTCATTAGCTTCGCTTTGGCAAGTGCTAATACCGTGGTTATTAGAGTGCCTGCTTTTGTAACTCTGATAAAGTGACCAACATTCAAAGCACTGTTTGCTATGAGATTTCTCTTGCTGGAGAGCCAAGGGGTCTGTTAATTGAATTACTGATGGAGATAACGTGCTAGCTCTCTGCCCTTGGACTCCAGGAATCAAGAGGGTGGGGTTTGCCAGCACATTTTAGCTCACAGGTTTGTGTCTGTGTGTGCGTGCACAGGAGGGGCTCCCCGCTGGAGGGCTTATGGAGATCATAAATTTCTGTCTGGTGAAAGCATGAGAAATGCATTGAGACAAACTGTGTCTTTTTTCTGAGATTACAACAGTGGTGGATTCTCCATCTCTAGATGTCTCCAGATCAAGAATAGATGCTTTCTGGAAGAGATGCTTTAGCCAAACGCAAGTGGTTAGGCTCAACACAGGAGTAGCTGGGTTAAATTCTTTGGCCTGTGTCACACAGGAGGTCTGACTAGATGATGATCTAATCTATGAACAGACTAGATGATCTAATGGTCTTTTTTGGCTTTAAAATTGATGAACTTCTATCCTTATGACTCCAGCCCACTTTCTGCCCCATTCCCCTCAGATGTATTCCTTTCCCCCTCCTATATATGGCTTCCTTGTCTTTGTTTTCTTTTAATAATAATTTTGCAGTTCAGAGGCTTTGGGCACCTGACTGATTAGGGTAAGGTATGTACCATCTCGCTTTGTGCTGTGAACCACTGTGCTCTCATAAGCCAAGCAATTGTAGATGAGCTTATCCCTGGGATGGTAAAACTCCAATGACTACCTTAGTGCTGCAGAAAGCATTGTAGGTGGGACTCTGCGTCAGCATTGGACCATTACCTTTGTGATCTGTTAGGGGTTCTGTTCTATGGGCTGGGCCAGTTTTGAATATTATGTGAATTCCAGCTCTTGACTATGTGGTGGTGTTAAAGTTCCCACAGTCATATTTGACCAAGTCCTAGCGGTGTTCTGGCTTAATTCCAATTCGGTATTATTCTGCCTACCTAAAATTCTCCTTGTAGTTTCAGTTCTTCTCTCCCTGTGCCACTGTTGCTGTACTCTGTTAAACGGATGCTTTGTTTCACATTGGAAGTGATTGCATTTTAGTGGCGGGGGAGGCATCTCCTATGTTTGTAAAGTATATAAGCAAAGTATGATTAGTATTAATAAAAAAATAAAGTGGAACAGGCAGATTCTATAGCCAGTAGAATTACTCCAGATTTACACTGGCGTGAGCAAAAACAAAATCTGGCCTGTTCTGAACCAGTTGATTCACATTGCCTTACCCGTCATATCCTGGAGGACTAATAAGGCTACTAAATTTTTATTCATCCACCTATGAAGCCAATGGGCCTATTTCTCTACTGCCTTGCACATATGCAAATCATGACTCTTGCCACCACTTTACACTCACCTTAACAAGGTGTACGTGACTTGCACAAAGAGCAAGACCGTGGAGATTCGGACCTAGTTCCGCTCTACTGCAGTGCTGTAAATGTGGAGTAACTACCGATGTCAGTGGCATCACTCTGGATTTGCACCATTGTAGCTGAGAATGGGACCCAACGAACTGCATGCACGGTATGTGAGAGCATACTATGAATTGTAACTGGCAGCGTATAAGGGCTCAGAAATAAAGTGAGGCATGTAAAAGGAAGATTGGATTTATATTTTCTGTATATATGTATTTTTGGTCTCTTTCTTACAGGGATCTTAGTGTTGATGCTGGACTGACACATGCCCAGTTCCAGGTCAGGCCAGTTCCTCAGCACTATCAACATTATTTAGCTACATCTAGAATGCACCATTTCCCCAGAAACACATCCTCAACGCAGATGGTAAGTGAAACACTTCTGCCTGGAAATGTTTTATGCATTGTCTGCCAGAAGGCAGTCAAAATAAAGGCTGTTATCTTTCCATCACCTGTCTTCTAAGAGTCCCACTTATCTCTGGCTGTGGGAGGGAGTCTGCCTGAGAGGATAAGGTTGCGTCATTGTACTCATTGGGCAGGAAAAGTAAATTGGATTAGTTCTATTACCTTCAGTGGAGCTACACCGATTTTACACTAGCTGGCCCACAAAATCTAGACAGAATGGAAAAGAGATGGAACACTGTACCACTGTAGATATTAGGGTAAATTCCGCTCCCAGCTAAACCATTGAAGTCAATGGAGTCTCTCCAGATTCATACTGGTTTAGCTGAGAGCAGAATTTGAGTAATTGGTCCTGATGCTCATTTAGACTAAGCACTGTTTACACCATTCTGGCAATGTAAAGCAGCCTTGAAGTATATTTAAATGTAATTTAATCCCTTTGTAGTGCCAGAGTGGTGTAAAGGGACTTTAGGAGGTCAGACTAGAATCTAGATGATCATGATGGTCCCTTCTGTCCTTAAAGTCTCTGCATCTCTGAGAATCCTTCCTGCTGTATCTCCTTCCACTTAAAAGGATCCTTGACACAAATCTTTGAAGCCTATTCCTAGTAGCATTTTAAAGGAGACCAACAGCATGAAGATCACCCAGGTATTTTTTTGACGAGGTGTTACCAATATAACTCCTGCAGCATGTTAAAACTAAGCGAATTATTCACTTTTCACCATTTGTGGTATTAATTGTATGAGTTCAAAAATCATCAGTCAGATCCTCCCCCCAAAAAGCTTGCTCTCAAAAACAAATGCCGTTTTGGGGCCCCTCTGCTGATTTGTGACTCTTTAAGAGAAGTCCCCACTCTCCAGTTTGTGTGTGATTGTATCAAGATGAGATTTTAATGGGGATTGGGAATCTATTATCCTCGACAACCTTTCCGCTGTTTGTTAACTTTCTGCTCTTCACTCGACACTGATGATGATCAGTTTCACTTTGGCTATGTCTACACTAGAGACTTCACAGCGGCACAGGTGTACCGCTGCAGCTGTACCCTGCAAGGTCTCCCGTGCGGCCGCTCTATGCCGATGGGAGAGAGCTCTCCCATCAACATCATTAACCCAACCCCAATGAGTGGCGGTAGCTATGTTGACAGCAGAGCGTCTCCCACCAACATAGCGCCGTCCACACCAGTGCTTCTAGCAGTGTAACTTATGTCGCTCAGGGGTGTGTTTTTTCACACCCCTGACTGACAAGGTTTATCGACAAAAGTGCTAGTGTAGACATAGCCTTAGTGATACTCTCCTGCTAGCAGGATGTTGTGTTTTGGATGTTGACCCACAGTGTTGCCAACCATAGCAATTTTATTGTGTCTTGTGATATTTGGTGGGGGTTTTGTCTGGCTTTTTTTTTTTCTTAAAGCCCCCAGATCCTGGAATCATGTGACTATGTGAGAATCCAAGCTTTCATTTTTTTTCTTTAAAGTAAGTTTCTAGTGCTCCTGGTTTCAAAGAAAAGCTTGACAATGTGACTCAAATGCTATGTAAATTGCTAAAAACCAGAGGACAAATAAACAGAACCCGAAATGTATTGCTGATTATTTTGAAGCTGATCTCATGGTTTTTGAATGCCTAGGGTTGGCAATACTGTACACAAAATAAAAAAAAATCACAATTGTATTTTTCCTGAGAGTAGATTTAATTAATAAAAACTCTATGATTTCTACGTTTTAAAAGAAATCTTCATTTTGGGCCTCAAACTAGTTGTCAGTCTGCTCTGAAGTTTTGCACTTTAAAAAGATTTGATTTGAAGTCAGGATTTGATGTGCTAATACAGGTGATTGTCTTCCCCCTCCCGTACAGGTAGTCCATGAAATCAGAAACTACCCTTATCCTCAGCTTCAGTTACTTGCTCTTCAGGGACTGAATCCAAACAGGCACACGTCTGCCGTAAGGGAAAGTTATGAAGTAGGTACCTTTGGGTTTACATGATTGTTTAACCCCTTTTTGCTTTCCCTGGAACCTGCATATGTCCTGTCATACATTTTTAAAACTGTTTGCTATAGAACAGCTGTTCCAAACCGGAATATATGTGCCAGGTCCAGGAACGCTAAATAGATGTAGTTAGGGACTTATTCAAAGCTCATTGAAGTCAATGGAAAGATTCCCATTCAGGGGGGTTTGGATCAGACTCTTAGTGGTTCACACACAAATCCAGGTGCAGGGCACAGAAGAATTGGGAGCTCACATTTTACAGGTGTACATCCAGGCAGGCTGTTTTGAAACTTTGGCCCAGTTTGTACCTTCTCTGTGAAACATACAGAGACAGTAGTACTTATCTGGCAAAATACTTGTGTCCAGATTATTTTAAAACATGTCATTTTAATATCAATGTGGGTGGCAATGAAGTCTAGCAATTACAGTAAGGTGTCCTGTGTACCAGGACTCCTGGGTCCTACTTTTGGCTCTGGCTCAATGTGTGGCCATAAACATGTCACTTAATTTCTCTGTTTCATTTTTCCTATCTGGAGATAAGACTCCACCTACTTCACAGGTGTGAATGGAGAATTAACTAATGTTTTATACATCACTTATTTGTAGACAATGGCCTGACTGAAAACTGTTGATTCAAACACCCTGAACTTCTAAGTGTCAGAAACCCAGGTCTGGATTCTGTGGCTTGGGCCCATGTCTGTTAATTGTCATGGGATAAGGTCCTCTCATGGATTGGTACCGGGTTAAAAGCTAGGAAACAAAGAGTAGGAATAAATGGTCAGTTTTCAGAGTGGAGCGAGGTAAATAGTGATGTCCCCCAGGGGTCTGTACTTGGAGCAGTCTTATTCAACATATTCATAAATGATCTGGAAAAACGGGTAAACAAGGAGGTGGCAACATTTGCAGATGATACAAAACTACTCAAGATAGTTAAATCCAAAGCAGACTGCGAAGAGCTACAAAGGGATCTCACGAAACTGGGTGACTGGGCAATAAAATGGCAGATGAAATTCAATGTTGATAAATGCAAAGTAATGCACATTGGAAAACATAATCCCAACTATACATGTAAAATGGTGGGGTCTAAATTAGCTGTAACCACTCAAGAAAGAGATCATGGAGTCACTGTGGATAGTTCTCTGAAGACATCCACTCAATGTGCAGCAGCAGTCAAAAAGTTAACAGAATGTTGGGAATCATTAGGAAAGGGATAGATAATAAAACAGAAAAGATCATATTACCTCTCTATAAATCCATGGTATGTCCACATCTTGAATACTGCGTGCAGATGTGTTCGTTCCATCTCAAAAAAGATATATTGGAATTGGAAAAGGTTCAGAAAAGGGGATGGAACAGCTTCTGTATGAGGAGAGATTAATAAGATTGGGACTTTTCATCTTGGAAAAGAGATGACTCGGGGAGGGATATGATAGAGGTCTATAAAATCATGAGTGGTGTAGAGAAAGTAAATAAGGAAGTGTTATTTACTCCTCATAACACAAGAACTAGGGGTCACCAAATGAAATTAATAGGCAGCAGGTTTAAACAAACAAAAGGAAGTATTTTTTCACACAATGCACAGTCAACCTGTGGAACTCTTTGCAAGAGGAGGTTGTGAAAGCCAAGACTATAACAGGGTTAAAAAAAGAACTAGATACATTCATGGAGGATAGGTCGATCAATGGCTATTAGCCAGGATGGGCAGGGATGGTGTCCCTAGCCTCTGTTTGCCAGAAGCTGGGAATGGGTGACAGGGGACGGATCACTTGATGATTCCCTGTTCTGTTAATTCCATCTGGGGCACCTGGCATTGGCCACTGTCGCAAGATACTGAGTTAGATGGACCTATGGCCGTTCTTATGTTCTTATGATAAAAGACTTCATGAAAGTAAAACATAGTATTATTAACATGAGATTATATTTTCTTTGAATAAATGGTAAGAAAAGAACCTTACATTCTATGTTCATCACAAAGCAGAATGAATCTGCAGGGATAGTCTTGGGAGATTGTCATATGCCTTGTGGATATTTTCTGCTTAAGGAGCTGCTGCAGCTGGAAGACAGATTAGGCAGCGTGAACCGGGGAGCTGTGCAGAACACCATCGAGAGGTTCACTTTCCCACACAAGTACAAAAAGGTGAGAAATCTGCCAGGGTTGAGTCTACAGGCAACTCTCCCAGCAGGTCTGACTTTCACTTCCTAAAGGAATGAGTTTAGCTGCTAAAGAAACATGTAATCATTCTTGTCCCAGGATTACTCATGGATAGGAAATGGGAAGAAACTTGGTGTGTGCGTGCGTGCGTGTGTGTGTGTGTGTGTGCCAAATTCAGGTTAGATTGAGGCCCAAACCAAAGCCTCAAATCCAGATGGGAGGAATTTGAAATCCAGAATCCCTATGGTTCATCTCATGTTTGGTTATAATGTGTTGTGGGGATCGTAGGCTAAAGTGCCAGGGTAGCTCAACTGGTTGTGCCTCAACCTTCTCCCACTCAGCAATCTCAGTCTCAGTGCTCACACGTGTGTGTGTGTGTGTGTGTGTGTGTGTAAACTCTTGTCATTTATGCACACAAGTGGTAGCACCTGCAGATTTCACACACACAGGCAAAGCCGCGGGTGTACATATATGTCCCTTTTGAGTCCAAGTCCCACACCAGGAAGACTCACGCAACGATGAGAGAATCTGCACTCTCCCTTCAGGAACAGTGACATCTCCAGATTTTGTGATCAAAATAAAGGAGGTCACTTTATTTTTGATCTACAAGGGAGGAGGAAGGAAAGTGGGACCTGAGACTTTGACTCTGTTTTACTTGCTGGGCTGGGTTTAGATCATTCTCTCTCAGGAAAGGGAATGTGAGTGGAACTGGAAAGTATGGAAAACAATGGGAAAAGCTCATGGGCCGAATTCTACTTTCATTTATGAGCTCCATTAAAGACACTTTTTCTATTTGTACAGCGCCAAGCACAATGGGGCTGGGGCTTGTTGACATTAGCACAAGACAAGTAACAGTTGCCACTCCAAAGTCCTTGTGGTACCAGCAAGCCTGCTGACAGAGGGGGGGCAAAGAGGGCAATTTAAAAGGGCCTGGGGGCCCCCTGCCGCCGGTGGCGGCAGTGCAGCGGAGCTAAGGCAGGCTTCCTGCCTGCCCTCGCACAGTACCACTCCCGGAAGCAGCCGGAATGGCCCTACAGCCCCTGGAGGGGGGGCAGGGCATCTCTGCACGCTGCTGCTACCCCGAGTGCTGACTCCGCAGCTCCCATTGGCCGGGAACTGCGGCCAATGGGAGCTGTGGGGGGCAGTGCCTGCAGGCGGCAGTGGGTGGAGACCCCCCGGGCCCCCCGCCTAGGAGCTGCTGCCAGAGGGGTGTGTCAGTCGCTTTTGGGAGCCGCCCGAGGTAAGCACCGACCCCTTGACCCCTTCCTGCACCCCAGCCCCCTACCCAGCTTAGAGCCTGCACCCCACACCCTAACTCCCTCCCAGACCCCGCACCCTGCACCCCCTCCTGCATTCAAGCTCCCTCCCAGAGCCTGACCCCTCACCCCCCCCGCACCCAAACTCCCTCCCAGAGCCCACACCCCCTCCTGCACCCAAACTCCTTCTCAGAGCCCGACCCTTCACCCTCCCCCACACCCCAAACCCCCTGCCCCAGCCTGGTGAAAGTGAGTGAGGGTGGGGGAGAGCAAGCGACAGAGGGAGGGGGGATGGAGTGAGCAGGGGCGAGGCCTCGGAGAAGGAGCGGGGCAGGGACATGGCCTCAGGGAAGGGGTGGGGCAGGGGGTGGGGCAAGGGTCTTTGGGTTTGCGCAGTTAGACAGTTGGCAACCCTACCGGGCAGGCATGTGGAAGCCCTGGCCATGCCGGAAGAGCGCGCTCAGCAGCGCAGCTGGCAGCTTGCTGGGCACCAGCCAGCACAGGCCAAATGTCAGGCGGACTGCGTCCACGCGGTCTGGGGGCCCATTGACGGTTCTGCCCTGGGGCCTGGAATTGCTGGCGGGTGGCCCTGGGTACCAGGGTATTTTTAGTGGCATGGAAGTTACTGCAGCGAATGCTGAGTTGTGTAGAAAGGGTCACGCTTCTAAAGTCTGCAGGAAACAACTATAACTGGCAGGTATATGTGTGCAGATACCTCCTGGGATGTACAGGTGCAGCATCTGTGGGAATTGTGCTGGAATATCTGAGGGTTCAACTGGGATTGTTATTGTTCACTGGAAATGTTCAAGAGACTGTGGAGGTTTCAGTACCTAAGAATGAATCATGACATTAATTGTGACATCAATGACTGTGACTTTAATCATAGAAGTCATGAGAAAGTGGCTGCCTGGCCCCTTTGGGACGCTGACATTATTCTGTCTGCCTTTCCTCTCCTGGTACAATTTGACAGTTGGCGCATGAGTAGGAACTGGCACCCATCCCGCTGTGGATTTTTGTCTGGGCAGGCTTCCCTAACCTGGTGGGTCCTTTCAGTTGACAATGAAGCGCTTACTGTTCTGATTCCTCCACCTGCAGAGGCTTTAGAGAACAGTAGCGAGTCAGAGTCTCTCCTTGTGTAATTACATTACGTCTTTAACCTTGTCACAGAGAAGACCACAGGAAGACAAAGCTGAGAAGGAGGATGGGGAGGAGTCGGACACCGATGAGAAATGCACAATCTGTCTGTCTATGCTTGAAGACGGAGAAGACGTGAGGTATGATCTTTCCCACAGAGATTTTCTGGCTCTCAGATTCCCCACCGCTTACTTCCATTCATTTCCTGCTTGGTTTGGATTTGATTTTATTGGAAATCGTTCACCGCTGCGTGAGTATGTTTTTAAGACCGGGCTGTCAATGCTCTTGTTCTGGTGAGCGCCCTTTGATACTCTGAGTGCAGGTGTCTGTAGGAAGCGAAACATCTTTAGGGTTCTCTCAAAGTCCATTTTATAAACTGGGGCTAAAGGGAGCTATGCTGCAGCACTAGGGCAAAGTTGTCAACAGTGACTTCTGCTTTTGATCACCTGTTTCTGGGCCCCTGTGTTTTTAGGCCCACAGCACTGCAGATTTTAGTGCCAATCAGTATTTGTGTGGCGGCAGGAGCCAGGTTGTTAGATAGCTAAGTCGGTGGCAAGTCACACAGTTCCGATCTGTATGCAAGTCTCTATAGTTCTGGGGTGTTTGCATCTGGATTTTGGACTCAACCCATTATGACAGGAGTGGCTATAGGAAGACCTAGATTTCAAGTTCAGGGAGGCTTGGATCTGGGGTTTTGCTTCAGGTTCCTCTTTAATCCAGCTGCTCAGTGCATGTGTCTTTGGGAGGTTAGAGGGGAACGACAACCAGAGTTTTTGGAGCCTTAAATGAGCACCCAAAATTGGAAGCTGGGTCATGGCCACTTAGGAAATTTTGGATTTCTTGGCATAAAGTTCCCGCTGCCGTGAGCCAGAATGGCAACACAACGATGCTGCAGACAGCATGGAATGGTTGCGACCTTCTGTTGTACCCTAAAGTAACCAACCTGCAATAAGATACAGTGACTCCTCACTTACATTCATCCCGGTTAACGTTGTTTCGTTATTACGTTGCTGATCAATTAGGGAACATGCTCGTTTAAAGTTGTGCAATGCTCCCTTCTAACGTCGTTTGGCAGCCGCCTGCTTTGTCCACTGCTTTCAGGAAGAGCAGCCCGTTGGAGCTAGCTGGTGGGGGCTTGGAACCAGGGTGGATTGGCAGCCCCCCTATCAGCTCCCCCATCAGCTCCCCCCGGCCCTCTGCCTTGGAGCTGCTCCCCAAGACTCCTGCTTGTTGTATGGGGGGAGGGGGCAAGTCACGGTATGTGTCTCCATCTCTGTCTGCTATGCTCTCTCCCCTCCCTCCATGCCAGCTGCCTTGTAGAGTGAGGTTACATTAACAACCAGTTAACCCTTGAGGGCTCAGCCAAATGCTAGTTCATCATTTAGCAGTAAGGCATTCCCTGGGAAATATCCCACCCTCTGACTTCACCACCTCAACCAAACTTCACAATCATCATTGCTGTGTACCAGTATTAAATTGTTTGTTTAAAACTTATACTGCGTGTGTGTGTGTGTGTGTGTGTGTGTGTATATATATATATATATACACACTATATATTATCTGTATAGTCTTTTGTCTGGTGAAAAAAATTTCCCTGGAACCTAATCCCCTCATTTACATTAATTCTTATGGGGAAATTGGATTCGCTTAGCGTCGTTTTGCTTGAAGTCGCATTTTTCAGGAACAGAACTACAACATTAAGTGAGGAGTTACTGTACTTTGGCTGTGCTTATCACTGAGGTCCTGTCTTGTGTCCTAGCAAAACTTTATTGCAGCATTGAATTAAGTGGGGGTAGGAGCCAACTCCATAGACATAAAGTGATGAGACTGAAGATTCAGGGCCTGCTTCTGTTCTCCCAACAATGCTACATACGTGGTGCCGGAACCCTAACGTCAGCGGAGTTACTCCTGGCTTGCACCAGCTGAGTAAGGGCTGTGCCGATCTATCCTGCTGAAACTTTGGTCCAATCACGGGCAGCATGTAGGCACGGCCCTTTGCTGGGGAGCGGGACAGGGCTGCAGCGAATGCAGGAGGAAGGGATTGTGACTCAAGAAAGGGGTAGCCTGCTTCTGCAGATGAGCCCAATCCAGGCTGCCTGGAGAGCCATGGCTACCTTCTCCCTGCCCCCACCACGTACTTCTTCTGGGGCACTGTGCACCTTCAGTGGTCCCATGGAGGGACCAATCCCTGCCATCCTCCATACACCTGGGTCATGCAAGGGCACATGCACAGGGGTTAAAGGCACTGGGCCTTCACTTTTTTTTTTTTTACGGGTGCGTGTGGGATACTTTGAAAATCTTGGAAATAAGGTGCTGGGTGCAACCGGTGACTGTTTTTGCTAGGGCTGTGTGTGCAAACGCCATCCAGGCCACTCAGCCTGGCCACACTTAAACGATACTGAACTGCAACAAATAGAGAGGCCAAAAATGTTACCAGTGAGGGTTGTTAACCATTGGAACAACTTGCCTAGGGATGTGGCAGGTTTTTCCATCCCTCTTTAAATCAAGCCGGGATAGCTTTCTAAAAGAGTTGCCATAGTTTAAACAGAAGATGTGGGCTTGATGCAGCAATTACTGGGTGAGGGTCTTTGTCTTGCGTTATGCAGGAGGTCAGACTAGATGGTCATAACGGCCCCACCAGGCCTTGAAATCCATGAATCTATAAACATACTAAATGCAGAATGCTTGGTTCTCTCCCTCGCTGTATCCTATATGTGGTTGTGTTTGTCCCTTTTCCACCCACCTCACGCACATCACTGCACCAACTGTAACAGGCATTGTGATTCTCTTTTGCAGGCGTTTACCCTGTATGCATCTATTTCACCAAGTGTGCGTGGATCAGTGGCTAGCAACCAGCAAGAAGTGCCCGATCTGCAGAGTGGACATTGAAACACAACTTGGCTCTGACAGCTGAAAGAACCAATGCGGTGCACCATTTTCCTTACCAGGTCATATGGCCATAAGCCCTTGCAGCAAAATTTTGCCTTCTGAGCCATTTGATTTAGAGGAAAAGTCTGCAAGCACATTAGCGAAAAGGAGGAATTGGTGGTACAATATCTAGTGGTAGGAGAGGATCCTAACAGCCATATTGGTCCAATGCATGGGAGCTGGTATTCCCAGAGCTAGAAGGCCCTGTGCTACAGAAGATTTAGTATCGATCATGAAGGAACTAGTGTGTGGTTAGTTTGGCCTGTCAATCCTGGATTTCACAAGGATTGTATATATACCTCTCGAATAAGTAGACACATGTTAGGGGGTCTTTAGCTATTTCTGTGGACAGCAACTGGAGCATGTTAGCTTAAGAAATGTTGTGTTTGGTGCCCTAGTCATCTTGTGGTGGACATGTCGCTGTTAACCTAATTTGCACCAAATATTTTTTTCATAGATTCCTTATTTTGGTGCCTGACTGAAATGTGGCAGAGGGGAAAAAAAAAAAAAAAAAAAAAGTTAAATCTTCCCACCTTTAGGAAAAAAAAAAGAGGTGAAATAGCAAATTCCTGTTTACAGTTAGAAGGATCCTGCTCTTTGCCTCGTCTGCGTTTAGTTCTTTGATTCTGTTTACAGTGTGTTGCTCATTTAGAGAAGCCTAAAAAAAAATAATCGGAATGAAATGAACAAAATGATAGCGAGAAGTTTTGTTCTTGCTTATCTGCTGGTGCTGGACACTTTATATTGGGCAGGATCCTGGGACTGATTCTGCTTCATTTGCTTCCATAGCTTAACGATGTGCTTTGGGGCACAGCATCCAAGGAGGGCCACTCGGTGTTTTATTATTGTAATTTTTCCTACCACTGTCTCATCTTCCAGTGCAATTGCAGTGGCTCCTGCAATCTGTATGGCCCGTTGATGTCAACGGGAGCCGCAGGTGGTTCCACGTTTCTCCAGACCAGGCCCAGAATTCCCCAGCGGAAGTTGTATCAAAGGCTAACCTGACACCACACCTGTGGTGAAAGATCCATTGTCTGCTTGCTGGAGAAAGAGAACCTATTAAGCTGGTCGTAGTCGTTAGATCCTGCAAGAGTTTTTTGGAGGACTAATTGGCCCGGAAATATGCTTGCAATGTGATGAGAAATGCATTCTTCCGTCTCTCAAAAACAAAAGCACAAACCATCTTTTCTGATACAGCAGGTATCCAGAAGGGGGCAAATTGAACACAACTAACATGTCCTTCTTACAATTAAATTCCTAATCTCATGGTCTTCTTTGGCTAGCAGACTAAGACATTTCAAGTGATCTAATTAAACGCTCCGGAGCTGTGCTGTCACCTAGCCTTCTTTGCAGGCTCCCGGAGGCAAAGGAGAAAAGGGATTGATTCAAGTTGCATCCTGCACTAAATTTCTTTCTGCTGCTCTTTCCGTTTGCGATTTACACGAAATAGCAGCTTTTGTAGCTTAGAAAGTAAGAATAAGAGAGGAGATTACAGCTCAGGTGAAATGCTGCGGGTTTTTAAGAAATCCACTTTTTTCTTCATACCTTGCTGTGGAAAATCTCAGATAGTTGTTCTGATGACAAGATGCGGGGGAGAATAACAGGACAGTTCAGTCATATGGTACATAAGAAATTGCTGACAACGTGAAAATTTCAGTACAGGATGGGAATTTAGATGTATGGGATAATTTACTACTTGGTCTGAATTTTAAACTATAGGCGTGTATGTATGTACATGCACAAAAACACACCTATATAATACATATGAACTGCGTGAGCTCTGAAATGAAACGGACGCTAATTTGGCAGGCTCCGTTATAATTATGAGCAAAATAAAGATTAGAAGTAATCAATGAAGTGCCAAAAATAATGGAGCTTTCTGAGCCACATTCCCTGTGAAATAAATATTTCAGATTATTTGCCATGAGAGACATTGAATTAAGTGCATGTTGACTCTTTACTCAGTCTTCTTTATCTGACAGCTCTCGGGAGGATTGGAATCAACAGCCAAGATTCTCCAGGCTTTTAATACATTTTTCATGTACTAGGGGAGCAAAAAAGTGTCTAGAGGATTTTTAATCAGAAACATATATTTAAGATGCCTATATGGAGGATGATTTCTCGTTCCCATGAGTGCCTGTTTCGTAGGAGCTAAGTAATGTTTTGTAAGTGGAGATGAACATAAATTACCCTTGGAGAGATCATAGAATTCCTGCGAGCTGTAATTGGAAAATGCTGACCTCCCAGACGCCCATGATCTATTTTTTTCCAGTCTGGAGAATAAAGTTAACGATAGGGCCGGGACGAGCGACTGCATCAGCATTCACAAAGGAGATGCTCTCCAATTCACTGCAGTAATTTCGCCCAGGGTTACCATCTCTTCAGCAGATTTGTCTTGCTAGACACAGGTAGTGGCGTGGGGAGGGGGGAAGATAATAACTTACAATGGCAGGTGAAGAAGATGCAATCTATAAATATTTATTTGGAACCACTGTTCTCGTCCTGTGTGTGCGGGTGATGAGAACAGTGTCGGGAGGGGGACGAGATAACCGGGGCAGGTAACCGCTCCTGCAAAACGCCGCTCTGAAAAATTCTAGCACTGTTTAATTTTGCCTCAAGTTGACATGAGACACGTGTGGTCGTTTCTACTTTATCTTGTTGAACGTGAGGGTCTGCGCCCTTAGACTAGAAGGGCTGAGTGCCTTGGGCAATAAATAGCCTGGGCCTCACTCCAGCAGCAGCAGATTCATACATCATTAAAAAATAATATGACCGAGCAAAACAAGACGTTGCTCTTTAGATGCACTGTAATCCATCATGCGTTATAGCCTGGTCCTGCCAGTGCAGAGCTTGTCCAGGGAGGGGCTGAGGATCCTCTAATGAAGTGAATGGGAATTACAGCTACTCAGCACCTTGCAGGTGGGGCTCAGGACCTTTCAAGACCGGGGTCTTGCTTGGAATGAACTATTCAGTGGGGAGGAAGTGAGCTCTTCCGACCCCTGTGTTTTACGTCTATGCGAAAGTATTATTATTTGCCTAATGAACAAGCACAGTTTTTAAAACGGTGAAGAAAGCACCAAACTTCCATGGTCTGTGTGAGTGAGTGATACAGTGGCACGCGAGCGCTTGTAACGTCTGAAATTTGCATTTGGTGTGTCAGGTTCCCTTGTCTTTAAATAGCTTGTATGAGTAGAATGAGCTAATAGAGTGATTTTTTCAAAACAAAACAAAACAAATCTCTAGAAACAAAACATAGTTTACAGGGTTTTGTGAGTTTAAATGCCTTATATTTAACAATCATAATTTATGACTAACTTGTAGATATTGTGGGTTCTTATTTAATTATTTTTATAGTTGTTTTTGCATTTTTAATTATAATTTATTTATTTAGAAATTAATACTAATTTTTTTTATTACTCCTATTACCTCATTTTTGCATTGTTTCTGGGAATGGAATGCTTTGCATGCATTGGTACTTAAAAAAAAAAAATTAAACATGGGGCGTGGGAGGGGGTAAAGCTTATCATGTCAAAAAAAAAATCAGGGTGTGTGATTACAAACTGTATTACTGTGGTGCTGTTACCTTGGATACATTCCATAAAAATGCAAACCTTTGATTCTGTATGCTGTGACATAGTGGAAAACTGCAATATAGTGACTGTGTTTAGCACATATATATATAAATATTATTTGCACTCATAATCAAACTATGGTGATCCTTTCACTCATGCCCGTATGCACTGAAGGAAAATAGCACTCCTCAGAGCCAAATAATCGGGGTGGCTCCCGCAAGCCCCATGGAGTGTCTTCAATGGGAGTTCCTTGCTCAGAGGGCTGGCAGCATCTGGACCATCGTAACATAATATAGACCTAGGATTTGAAAGCAGATCAAGTCAGTGCTGGTTATCCCCTTTAGAAAGAGAGTCTCTACAGGCCATATTCCTCCTCAGTATGCAGTGGTCACTGTTAAAAAGCCAGTGATTGCCAATATCAACTACACAGTGGTGACTGAGGCCTGGTCTACACTAACACCCCAATTCGATCTAAGGTACGCAACTTCAGCTACGTGAATAACGTAGCTGAAGTCGACATACCTTAGTTCGAACTTACTGCGGTTCAGACGCGGTCCACACGCGGCAGACAGGCTCCCCCGTCGACTCCGCGGTACTCCTCTCGCTGAGCTGGAGTACCGCAGTCGACGGCGAGCACTTCCGGGATCGATTTATCGCGTCCAGACCAGACGCGATAAATCGAACCCGGAAGTTCGATTGCCAGCCGTCGAACTACCGCGGTAGTGTAGACCTGGCCTGAGATACCAGAGTTTCCTCCTGTACTTAGAAGAGGAAATCTGACCACAGGCCTAGCCTTTATTCCCATAAATACCCTATTGAAGTCAATGAAACTTGCTTGCATGAGAGAGGCAGCAGGGCTAGCTGTAGCTGTCAAGTCTCGGTGCCACGGATATTATTGGGGATATTATTTTATTATTTGTATTACAGTAGTTCCTGGATTCCCTCCCTCCCACCCCCCAAAATTGGGGCTTCAGTGTGCTAGGCACTGTACATATACATAGTGAATGATACACCCTGCCCCAAATGTCTTACATGCTAAATAGACAAGACCAACAAATGGGTGAGCGGGGAAACAGGCACATGGATCTATTTTTTTTCCCTGGTGACCACTGTCTCAGAGCTCAGGCTGGCCTTGCCTGGTTCCCTTTAAACTAAACTTTCGTGGGCTTTCTCCTTCCTGCTGTGTCTGTTGTCTGGTGGGCACGTGCGTGTGTAAGGTGGTCGTTTGTTCATCACGCGACAGATCTGGCCAGCTAAGCATTTCAGAGGGGATGAGGCAAACGTTAGGGGCTGCCCTCTGAGATGATCAGACTGTGTTTGTAAGTGTAGAGCCCAACCTTGTGGCTCATCCCATGTGTGGAAGTCCCTTGAAGACAGGGAGTTCATCGTGGGAGTAGAGCACGCCTGGGCCCTAGAATTGCACAGCGGCAGAGGCTGACCTCTCAGTATTTCCATTATGGAGAGCTGAGTCCAAGTTTTAGGTGGAATTTGAGTGCTGATTAACAAAGGGCACTTTTTGGAAAGATCACTCCATTGCTGTGCTGTGGCTGCCGGCCAATGCAGGGAAGTTGCTGTTACTTTGGAGCCCCCTAGAGGAAGGTGCAGGTGCACACTGAACAGACTGGGGCACCACCAAAAGTGGCCTGTGTGGCCCCTTCCCGTGTGTGGCAGGACCACTGTGTAGAATGAACACCCATGAATCCAACAAAGAATTAGGTCTGGGAGTACTCCCCTCCCTCTCCCCGCCCCCGCGTAATTTTATTGTCTGACGTTTCCAAGCCTCAGCTGGTTCAGTGACAGCATCACCACTGGTTAGAAACAGTTATAAATTGCCTCTAGGGCTTGGTGTTGAAGATGCCTGGAAATTGTTTCTTTAATCATTTAAAAAGAAATCAGTATTAAAATCCCCACCCTCC